AGCTGCAGAATGGAAGAAAGTTTCTGACCTTCTGCAGGAGTACCATTCCCAGACCAAAGCAATGTTAACAGGTTGTGTAAGAATTCCTAATCTTCTCCAATGTGAAACTAGTCACCTTAGTTCGAATCACCATGAATGTACAGTATTCATGGAGTGTAGAGTATAGTTTAAATGGAACATTTTAAAAAGTGATCTTTGAAATTACAATCTATCTCTGTCTGTAATCTCCAATTGAGCTCATTTTCACAGCTAGGTGATATACCACTTAATTTCTTTAATTTAAATAAACATTATTACTACAACCGATAGTACTACTGCTACTAAGGTCCCTTTTTGTTTTAAAAATGAGCTACAGCCCGACAGACTTCTTCCAGTGAAACATGACATGTCAAAGACTGAATTTAGAAAACAAGATGAAATTCAGAAATTATCTTAGTGCGAGTGGTTTGCAAGGCAACCAAATACTTCCTTTTGAGATTTTGTAAATTACCATTTAAGCTCAAGAACTAATTTTCCTTTTCATGATGTTTTCTGGGTCACACCTCAGAGGAAGAAAGTTAGATAATGACTTTGATGTTGATGGGTATGAAATTCATGTTCAGATTCATTGCTGAACCTATTCAGTAGATTAATTACAGTACTTCTTTTTTAACACATGCAGAGGACTTCATACATTACTAAGCCATGCAGATTTAGCATCAGAATTTTTACCCAATAATATCTTTGATCCGATGTAGTAAAGTCAGATTAAATTAGATTATTAATTTTTTTTGGAGAAGAAACACAAGGAAACTGACTTTGCCACCCCAGTCCAAATGCTATTTGTGTATATTGTATCTTCCAGCTAAATTCTATTGGCGAATGTCTACAGATCTTATAATTGTAGACAAAGAAATTAAAAGTTCTCCAAGTTCTTTCGCAGCATTGTTTCTTCACGTGAAAATTAGTTATGAGTTGTGAATCCTAAAGTCATTTCACCTTTCTCATATTTAATATTTGCTCCAGTGATAACCCTGCCTCAACAACTTTCTCTTGACTTCTTAAATATGTCTTTGAACTAAATATCTGTGAACTGCTGACATTGAAAATGAAGCCATTTCTTCCAGGACAAGTAAAGATATGCCTCTCCCAGCTACTCACTCTCTTCCCACTTGCAAGAAACTAAGGAGTTTAAAAATTATTTTATAAATTTTTTCTTTCTTGAGTTCTGCTGGTATGCTGCATCTGTATAATAAGCAAGATCTTGAGAGAGTTCAGTTTTAGCCTAAATATATTCCTTACAGTTGAGAGGGGAGAAACTAAGACAAGCAAAATGAAAATAATCCAGAGCAAGTGAGTAGAAGTAATGTAAAATACTTGCAGTTCATAACTTGTTCTGTCTAAAATTCCTCCACTGACTATATGGTATGAAAGATGTATGAAACATTAAACTTGATTTGAAAAGAATGTCAGAGTCACTCAAGAATATGGATGGGATGATGCTGTCCCAAAATTTACTTCTATTTATCTCAAGTCTTCTGCCTGCAGAAGCCAGAGTGTACTTCTTATGCCATTGGTCTGATCCAACACATACTGTAACATATGTGTGGGCTACCACAGAAAAAGAAAACATTGCTCTAAGGATATGAAAATGTAAAGGGAACACAATACAGTTAAAGCTGGAGAAACATGGATAAAATCCCTTTTCATGTTCTTCAAGGGATATTGTTTTGCTTGGTGTATTCTTTACAGTTTAAAATATAGAGACCTGCTATGTGTTTACTCTCTGGTGTGATTTAAAACCATAGATGGGTTCAGCCTATGTAACCACAATGTCACTCAACATCTACCTTGCACCTAAATGAGATTATGTAAACTGTAGTGCGAACTGTGAAGATGTAATCTGAGCTTTTCCAGCAGTTCACTTCTGTGACACGAGTTTTAGAACTGAAAGCAAATCTCAGCTCATCAGTATCTCATCGTGTCATGCCATAACCTCTTTCAAATAGCCTTGTAGACTTCTATCACCACTTAAAATTTGTCGCTTCCAGTCTAGTAGAGAACAGAAAACTTAGTGTCATATCTTTGAAAACGCTACTGTTAGTGCCGTGAAGTGTTGAGTCATAAAAACCTGTATCTATATCCCTATGCACTTGTCTTGTGACATGGTACAAACTAAAATTGCAGATATGTTGAAGCCTAAGAAATCACTCACCTCCTCAAAATCAATTTATAAGAGTGCAATAATCTTTCTCCTGGCTTTGTTCGTTGGTATAATGTCACTCATTGTAAAGAAAGCATAAAATCAAAAAATGGTTTGTATTTGTTACCTAAATACAACTTTTCTCATGCTTCTTAGGCCATTCGCATACGACAGCCTCACAGATTATCTGCATTTTATGATATACATTTTGTCCTAGGTGTTTACAGCTGTAATATGTCTTGTTTCTTTCTGTGACCAGGGAGAACGTAGAGGTTCGTTGGCATTTATACGTTCTCCAAGTACAGACAACATAAATGTGGATTTCAGCACCCCACTTCCAAGTACTGTGGAAAGCTCTGTCTCTTATTTACTGTAAGTAATGTGGACTGATGGGGAGGTGTATGTGAGGAAATTGAAACAGTGTTAAAAGCATTGAAAAATGCAAATTTCAGAGGCTTCAATCACTACTTTTTTGAACTTCAGTTATTATTGTCTCCCACACAAAATGGGTATACACAGAGTTATACTGTTGCATTTTATACACAAACAACTTTTTTTCAGCAAAGGCTGGTAAGATGAAGCAGATATCCACATTAGAACAGACCCTGTGTCATATAAACTAAAATTAATCCTACATCCACCTGAAAGACAGAAATCAATAATCTTTCCACATTTCCCATTAGGCATTTGCTTGCTCATTTTCATCTAGCCAGTTCTTATCCTTGCTTGTTTTTCTTTTCTCCCTCTTGTTCCTCATTTTCCTGTTTTTATTTCCTCTTCAGCAATTACTGATTTTAAAAACTGCTGTTTCTGTTCTTCAGGAGAGAAAAAGCTGGACCGGTTTGCCTTGACATGCAAGCTTTAGAGCAGAGGAGGAAAAGTATCCGAGACACAGAAGATACACTTGCTCATCATACCCTACAGCAGTACCTGTATAAACCCAGGCAGGAGGTGAGAACAAAAGGACTGGTGTCCAGTCTAAAACTGGGAGACATTAGGAACCAAAACTTGGCAGCAAATCTCTAAAGCAGAGAACCCACTGCAAAATCTGCACCCTTGAGAAAGACAGGGTCTTCGTCTGTGTTCTTTCTCAGTTAAGAACATGCCGTTTTAAACAGTAGTTAAACTAGTAGTTAACTAGTGCTTTTGAAATCACTGGGGCCAGTGGAATGCAGAACTGAATCCAATTTAGGTTCTGATCAGGATTAAGCGGAGTGTGTCAGGTGGTGATTCAGACCCTTACAGGGAGAGGCTTACTTTCAATGACAGTCCACTCTTACATACTTAAAATTCCTGAACTTACACCTGTTTCTTGGAAAAGAAAGAGGAAGAAAAAAAGGAGTTTCATTAATGCCTTCAGACTAGTCTTTGGTTCATTCTTTCTTATGGAGTTGTTTACATTCTGTGACACTGATTAAATGCATTGATTCAGGGCTTCCAGCTGTATTTCTAAATAAATGAATATTGTCTTCCCTTCCTGGCCACAGCAAAAACACCTGTACAGTCGCCATGAGATCATGTACACTGAAGATGACAAACAAGACAAAGAGATTTTCCATAGGACAATGAGGAAACGATTAGAATCTTTCAAGAGTACCAAACTAGGAATAAACCATCCCAAGAAGCTCAATAAAATCCACAAGCGAGACCGGGGCCAAAAAAGGGTAAAATACTTTCACAAAAACCCAGATGTAGCCACCTATTATACTAACTAAGGGGTGGGGAGGGCAGGGAGGACTCTGAAGAGTCCTATGTCCTGCATTTACCTCTGTCCTGTAGAACTTCATGAACTTCATGACCTAAGCAAGAAGAGATTAAACTATGAGGTAACTCAAAGGGCATCTTCTCACATGCTGCTTTTCTCTATGCTTTGGGATTCTTTCTCTAGGTGAGAGATTTCTGATCACTTGAGAAACACAGACACTGAGCCATGCTACAACATTGTGGGGAGATGTTGTAAGGTAAAGGTAGCAGGGTAGGACTACAGCATACAGCAGTTGATCAAATTTATATGAAACTTAAGAAGGAACACACAGCATACAAAGACATAAAGTTTCTTCTTTTTCCCCATACACACTATGAATGGAGGTGGGAATCTAATGGCATCCATATTGAGTCTCAAGCAAAGATTATAACATATTTCAGGGTTGTGCCGCTGGACTTGTCTTTGCAAAGGGTGCCACTGCCGTTGCTATCTGATGACATTAGCATTTTTGGTAACTGTGTTTGCTTTCTTTTCAGAGAAACAGCAGTGTCATACCAAATGGAAATATTCCTTCAGAAAATCCTGTACAAGATTTTACTTTGAAAGAGAAAGGTAAAAAGACTCATACTATTTTCATTAACTGCATTTTACGAGCTACATTACCAGCAAAGCATCACTGAAAAAATTCGTGATATCCAACAGTGACACTGATATTATAAAGGGACTTCTAATTCAGAACTTAGAGTGGTGATCTGGTCCATGCTTAAATGCAGTGTCTCTATGATTTAGAAGTTGTTTTTCTAGGAAGCTGGATGACAAGTTTTTAATTTGCCTTTAAAATATCACATTTAAATTTTGAAAACCAAAACAATGCAGTGGTTACAACATAGATGAACTTTCATCTTCCTTTGAATAAGGTGCGCATAGCTGCTAACATTTTTCTTTTTCATCACTGCAGGATATGTCTGCCCAGGACATCATCCATATAAAATTCAGCAGCTGAGATGACATTCTGTTCTTGAGTTAGATGTCCATTATTTTAGAAGGGTCTGAATCAAAGATAAGGTGTTAGAACTGCAGAACGTTAGAACTGAAGGAGAGTGTAGCTTTGAAAGGAACACCTAGTCAGAGGCCAGTTTCAGCACTGCTTCACCCTTCATGAACAAATCTTGAATTAGAACAGAATGAGACTGTAGCTTTGAAAGGAACACCTTGTCAGAGGCCAGTTTCAGCATTGCTTCACCCTTCATGAACAAATCTTGAAAATGTAATCTGAAGCTGACCAGCTTAGGGACTACCCCTAGCAAAAGTTGGTTCTGCATGTAAAGCTCCAAATTCTTTCATGTTTTAGCCATCTTTTGGCATTGATGTCAGGCACAGCAAGATGTGATGGATGCTAATATGTTTGTTATATAATTATAAAATAATATATGCCACTTAAAAACTGAAATGTGGTTAAAAGCCACTGAATTAACTTTTCTTTGTGTTCTTCCCTATGTTTATGCCTGCAACCCCTTTATCTCAAAGACAACTGAAGTAAAATAGAGAGGGATTAATCTTTTTTATATATTAAATGATTCATCATTTAATAGCTCCAAGCAAAAATATTTTTCATCTTTTTTTAATAGCTCCAAGCAAAAATATTTTTCTTCATGTATCTTCTTTGACTCATTTTCTGAAGGACGCAGTACAGGCTGGCTCCATAAATGCAAAATTCTGGAACTTTTTTGCATGGGAAGAGCTTTTCAAATACTCATTAGTAGGTCATTCAATGTTGTCTTGTTAAAGAACTCTGTGTATAGATATCATCATCTACTTAAAACAAAAAAGCTTAATTGGAAGAGACTCTTAAGTGGTTTAGCAGCTATTGCAAAACTTATTCTACTACACTAAAAGCAGCAATGACCTCATTAGACTTGAAATTAGTTAGGATACTAATGCTGACCTCTTTCAAATGATGAAAATGCAGTCACTGGTCATTGTTACAGAGCAGCATTTGTCAACTCATGAGCATTTATGACACAAAACACAGCAGGAGCCATGGTGCCATGTCATATGCTGGCATGTTTCTGTTCCAGTGAGCAGGCAGTTTTGTTAGGCAAAAGCTTAACCAGATTGTGAATTCTCTATTACAGCACCAGGTGTCAATGCAATCTGGTAACCCACATTGGGTTTCTTGATGTAATAGGTATCTAAGCCACAAACTCTATATACATTCATGTTTCAGTGCTACAACTGTTGATTAAATTTTGCCCTTATCTAGACCCTTGTTAAAGATGTATCTTTGATAATGATGCCAGTATAAATACAGCATGAAATAGCATTTTCTATCAGAGTTGATACAAATCTCTAATCAAATTGGACTTCCTTTTGTTGTTTTTTTCCCAGATTTGGAGTTTTCTGAATCAGAAGAAAATAATGATTATGAAACTTTGCATCTAGGCCAAGGGGTTGATTTCCTGGCTAATGTGACGAAACAAAATTTCACAGATACTCCTGCTGGTAAAAATATTTATTTCCTACAAAGATTTTTATTTTTCTCTAATGTTAAAAGAAGTACTAGAAATGAGGCTGATTTAGCCATTTTTTCTATTGTTGTTGTTTTGATTTTATGTGTTCTATTTGAAAATATGTTTGCTTAATAGTAGTGTCAACAACTTTTGGGTAGCTGGAAGTATGGAGAGCATCAAATTTGCTACTGATAGAAGTTGTGAAGTTGACTACCTAAAGCAGTTTTAAAACCACTAATTATTTCTAGCAACAGAAAATGTTATTTTACAGTCTTCCTGCCTCACAAGACCAGTCAATACTTGTCCTTTGGATCTGTTTTCTTCTTGCATTGGAAGCACTTCATTGTGATAAAATTCATTCTTCTTATTTCAGGCAGGATTTCTCCTCTTGAATTCACAGTTCCCTCAGATCTTTACAGGCTCATAGAAGTCATCAAAAAAAGGCTGATTTGCAGCATTCCTGGAGCACTCATTGCACTTGATTTCAGGCCTGAAAGGCTCCAAAATACCAGATTGGAAACTTATCACTACATTTGACAGAAGTTGTATCTTTTGATTTATGAAGTTTTGAAATTCAGTGTTTCATATTGGAAACTTATCACTACATATGACAGAAATTGTATCTTACGATTTATGAAGTTTTGAAATTCAGTGTTTCTTTTAGCCTATCTGTTTTGATTTGTTCAGCATGCCACTGTATGCTTCATATGTATCATGGTACACACAGTGAAGAAAAACACGTGTCTGGACTCTTCTGGCACACATTGCTGATACAGCCCTTTTGCTGTTCCATGGCAAATTCTGTGGTTGAGTACATATAAAGACAGCCAGAAATAAGTGGATGGTGAGATGCAGGCCTAAAATGTTTCTGTAAAACCATGACAAACTTGATAACTATATTAACAGGTTCCTGTACCTTATTTTTGACTGTTTTGTGGCCTGCTTTAGCTAGCTCACATGCATGTCATTCCTTTATAGAGCTTTGACTGTTTAATGGTCTGCTTTAGCTACCTCACATGCATGTCATTCCTTTATAGAGTGGTGAAGTTTATTTTTTTTGCATTTTTATCCATCTTTTATTTCTTTTTATGGGTTTGGTTTGAATTTTCTGCAGTTATTTTGTGTTGTGCTTTATTTTGCTTAAAATTTCTTGACTGATTTCTTCTTTTATTGGTTTTATTTTTTGTCTCCAGGCATCCCATACATAACTGCATATTGGATATAACATCCAATTTTTCTCTCTAATATAAATCCAGTATATGTCTAGCAATAACAAAAGTGTATGTGTGTATAATGGTCTGTGCATTCGCTTAGTCACACATATACTAGCATGTATCAGCCTATTTTTTTCCACCAATAGCCATTCTCCTTTTATGAACCATTTTGCTCTATTACCAAGGATTTATTTTGATTAATTTTGTTTGTCACATGTGAATATTGTTTTAGGAATTGATAACCCAGTATTTTCAGCTGATGATGATCAAAGCATCTACATGAAGTTCTCACCATGGTCATCTAGTGAAGATACTGTGGTACCATCACAAAGGGCCCGAGTGCAGATCCCATATTCTCCAAACAACTTCAGGCGGCTCACTCCACTCCGGCTCAGCAATAAATCAGTAGATTCCTTCCTGCAAGCAGATGGCCCAGAGGACCAACCCAGATCTTTGCTCCCAGAATCAACACATTTGTAATATTTTGAAAGATATTATCACTTTTATTTTTAACCAGCCTTCTTATCAGTCCTGACTACTGAGAACTAAACTTACTTTTCTGATTTTTGATTCTTCCAGAACACCTCTTTCTTTCCTGATTTCTTTGTACAACTAAACATCTTCTATATTCCTCCAACTTGATTAACAATACATCTTCTTATTTTCCTTCTGCAGAAGAGCTGTTCAACTATTTGGGATCCAATGCCTTGCTATTTTTACAGCAGATAAGGATCCTGCTCGGTTTTTTAAACTTGAATATTTTAAATGCCAAAACAATAGTATTCCAAATACTAGAATATTGTGCACCCATTTTCAAGAGGCTTCAGGATTCTTGGTTAGTCAGTTCTAGATTATAAAATTGGTACCTGAATTCCCTAAAAGAAAGATGATTTTTGCTAAGAAGCCTTGAAGTTATTTCTAAACATTTGTCCAGATTATTTATCCTGTACCCAGGAAGGGAAAATGGCCCCACTGCTGCAATACAAGTACTCAGTGACACTACTGATGTATCATTAAATTACATAAGAAAGGGGTTTAAAACAAAGCATGTTTGCTAGAATGCATCAGAGTTCCCTTGCATGGGTAGAGACAATTACACAACAGCCAGACTGAGAAGCAGTTTCCAGTTAGAGCTTTATCCTTAAACTGTGAGTACCTTATTTTGAAACTAGAAAAAGGCTTAGCTTTCTGATGTGGTAAATAACTTGTTACTACTAATGAAGGCTTAAAATTAAACTGACTCTGGGTTTAAATGAATATTCTGGTTGGCCTTTAATTCTTGCTATGTGGAAATTTTCCACACCACAAAAAGCAGCCTTCACTTCTATAATCAAGTCAGGCAGTTCTTCAAGTGAGGCTGGTCAGGTCACAGTCCAGATATCATAACTGAAGAGGACACAGGGCACTGCAAGGATTGTGCAATGAAACACAAAAGTAAGGTTCATCATGAATTCACTTTTGTGGAATCCGTGATCACAAATATATGTGCTAATGTCCTCTGTGCATCAACAGATAAAGAAAGGTGGTAAGTTGAAAGTACTTCTGTAGTTAGTCGATGAAATTTTGTTCAAAGACCTCAAGATAATAGTGAAGGCTGCTGATTTTGATTTGAGAAGAACTTCATAACTTTTTGAAAAGAAATAGAAAAGGGAGCTCCATTTTTCTTCTGTTCTGGTTTCTATCTGGCAGAAGATGTGCTAGTTCAAGAGTAAGTAGAGGAAGCACTTTGCTTTCTTTACTGGAGTGACCTGTAGGTCCATGTTTTGGTCTAGTACTCAGTTCCTTATTAATGTACCTGTGCTTATTTTTCAAATGATGTTTTAAAATAAACACTTGATTAATTAAAGAATTGTGAATTACAGTCTGATATCCTCGTTAAAAATGTGAACAATGAACAGCATTCCAAAAGGAAGATGTCTCCTTGACAGTGAAATTCTCTTTGCTTTTTTTCCCCCTCTGACAACACTGTCACAGAATATTGACATAAGACTTGCTGAACATTTTCTTGCTAACCTTTGTTCTTTTCCTCCATACAATTGCCTTATTTATAATTCACTTTATGATTAGGAAGTGGTTCTTATATATCTTTGATATATGAAAATCACTGGATTTTGACTGCTGTGTTTCTTAAGAAGTGTTTTGGGAAGTTATATTTTCTAAGTTGATAAGCTTAGACATTGATTACACTCTGAAACAGACCTCCAACTGATCTCCTTAACAAAATTCTCCTAACAGGAGAAAGATACTGAAATTTCAATTAAAAGATTTTTTAAAAAAACAATAGAAACTGGAAGCCAAGGGTGAAAATGTTAAGTTTTTCTACACCTGACATACAGAAAATTTATCACAGGTTCTGATCAAGAAGAAATTGACCCCTTGATGATACCCTCTGCTACTTGATTGAGAGAGTACCATTTCTTTCAAAAGTTTCTGAATGATTTCCTTGCTGAGTATCAGGACTGTTTCAAGATAAAAATACACCTTAGTGACCAGATGATGGCTCCATCTCCTATCTGAAACAGGCAGTCGTTCATCACAAACACTGAGCTAAGTTTTGCCTGACACTCAGCAAGGAGAAGAAGTCTAATTAACTTACTTTAGGGTGTCCAAGACAGAATTGGATAGAGTTCTTCAGAAAAAAAAAAGAAAAAAGAAAGAAAGAAAGAAAAAAGAAATCTTAAACCAGTCACTTTCATAAGACCTTCATAAAAATAGCCAAAAGCAAAGCCCAATAGCCAGCATACTAATAGGTAAAGTGTGTACTACAAATGTTTCTATTTTATTGTGCTCTCTAGGTGATATGGACCACGAAGTTGAAATGACAGAATACTCCTCTTCAGATGATCAACTAAACCAAAATGGAAGTGTTTCAGTGAATCCCCTCCACTTCTTCCCCTCTTGTCTTCAAATGCCTTGGACACAAAACTATTCTTCATTGGAAAACAGAGGGAATATATCTCTTTCTGCTGTCTCTGAGTACATAGCTTCATGTGACCCGGATGTACCCGATCTCTTCTGGGAATCAGGTACAGATATGAATAACAAAGAGCCAGTAAACTCAGGTTATTGTTCTGAAGTTAGCTACAAGTCAGAGAATTCACAAGAAGAGAATTCTCTACTTATATTTGAAGGGCTGGAAGACTCTTATATTGAGGAGCCCCAGGAGAAGAAAATGTTGCTTGATGTACAAGGAAATTACAGGTCTGCTGCAGCCAGACGTGTACAAAGCCGACGTTCTTTTCACAGGCCAAAACCTATGCAACACCCTAAACTTCAGAAGCTAGCATCTCTTCCAGCATCTTGCCATGTCCCTCCACATTCTTTGGAACAAGAAGAAACACAATTGTGAGCCAGGAATTACTTGAAAGAAGAGGATGAGAGAGGATCACTTGAAAAAAGGGCTACTGTAAAAATAGAGAGCAACCTGTTGGTTCATGGGATCTGCTCTAGAACTTTGGATGGAAAGGGAGTTGGGTCCCGTGACATCAGAAACACTGGAGCTTTTCTGCTGCACTTACATTTTTAAGTTCTTGTTGCTAATGAAAGGGTGCACAGCGAGGTGGAAATATGACTCCTTGTTATTTTTTTCATGTAGACTGTTACAAATAATCTATTATTTTTGGAGGGCTAAACCAAGAATCTTTTCAAATGGTAAATCCTTGTTGTTGGGTTTTTTTACAAGGAAATGGTTTATTATACCATTATGCCATAAATACATTTAAAGAAGTAGGCTGCATTTACGGCTTCAGTAATGTAATTAAATATTTATGCTATATGAAATTAAAGTAGGAGAAACCAATGGTTAGCCTCTTCCCTGCTAAGTCTACTCTGATTGAAATGGATCAGTGCCTTTTATAAGTGCAAGCTAAAGAAAAAACATCTCTTGAATATTTGTGTCACTGAGTAATTATGGGATATTGACTCTCATGGAAAGCTTTCCATAGAAAAGAAAGTTCTGGCATCTTGAAATTTAATCAAGGACTCCAGAAGGGCCATTTCCTTCCTTCACCTTCATTCCCTCTACTCAGTAGCACTGGAATGAAAGAACATCCAGAATTAGCTCAGAATTTTAGTTTGTGTGGTCGCAAGCAACTCTTTTCATATTATTAATTAAGCTGCTCTATTTTAAATAGCCTGGCAGGAGTGTAAATATTTCTCATTTTTACTGCTGCTTTGAAAGACACATTCCAAATACTGCTAGATTATCCTGTTAATTTATGTATCACTTTGAATAGCTGATCAGGATAATGGTCTCTCAGACGGTATTCTGTGTTTTGCCACATGGTTTAAGTGCCACAATGACTCAGGATGTTGATGGTTCAAAGTATTGTACAGAGGCAGTTTGGCTACTGTGCATGTGTATACATTTGTGTTAGGAATGTCCTTTATTTTTGCCCATGGTTTTCGGTTAAATTATACTTAAGATTGCACTAGACACTTATTGCGTATGTATTTGATCTTGAAGACAGCTGGCGACATCAGTGAAAGCCAACTCACACTAAGACTTAATAGAACTGAAAACTCTAAGACCTCTCATAGATGTGTAATGCAACATGCCAATGTACAGTCCTCTGGCCTACCTGTATTTTATCTTGGATGATTCCAGTCCTGAAATTTTGGCTTGAAATCTTCATTGGTATAAGTTGCAAAGATTCTGTAACATCAATAGAAGGTGAGTGCTTAGCCAGTTCTGTGATGTTAATGTGTTCCTTATTTCTATTTAATACCCATGTAAACCATTTATAAATGAGATATCACCTTCCAGGAGGTACTTGAATTGCTTAAGATTGGATCCCAGACAGAGGCTGTATCTGGCATATATTACTTTATTTATAAGAATTAGCTATTATTTTACTCTACACAGATTTTGAATGGGTTCTTGGTGATTTTGTATCAGATGTCAAAACTGAGATTTACCCAGACACCTAAAAAGAGTGGAGCAATGTGTGAAAACTCATGGCCACATATTTTTCCTGTCTATGTCCTCTCTGCTAAAACTGTCTGTTAGGCTGGTGCAAATTTCAGAGATGTGACAGCAAATATCATATTGCAAACCCAGACAGGTACAAAACATACACCTTTTGAGACTAAATTCAGAAAAGAAGTTTTTTTGATGTCAACCCACAAGCAGCTGCCTGCTTGCAGTCATCTTGGGCAATGATTCAAATCACTGTCCCTAATTGGAAAGCTTTATCACCCAGAGCTAGTCTTGTTATAATTCAGTAAAGTAAATACAATTTTGTGAACTGAGTACATATGAACATACTATTCTGGTGAAGTAGAGCATATTAATGCTGTTCCAGATATTATAATTGGAACACGTATTTTAGTAATTGGCATAGATATATAACAGGATCATGACTGATCCCAAATATTAGGACAAGTAAGGTGCAATGTGCCAAAATCTACTTTTCAGTCTCATAGCATAATGCTGAAGTACCAACACCAAAGTTGGCAAGATGCTCATCAGGTGTTTGCTT